TCAGCAGGTTATGACCGCCAGACCCGCGGACAGGGTACCAAGAGCGGGTACCTCCCATCTCTGTGGGAGCCTCGGCGCTGGTCAGACAGATCACGGGAAGACCCGGGTTGCTCCTGCTTAGAAAATTCCAAGTGCAAGGCCACTGGCTTGTTCCCCTCCCTCCCGGGTGGGGCCAGCCTCTGAACACCCCTGGGTCATCACAGCTGCTGGCAGGGCTGCCCGGGTCAATAAGCTTGTCTCCCCTGTGGTCCGGACATTAGGGCAGCTGCTGAGGTCATAACAGCATAACGGGGCTTCCTGCCGAGTCCCCCGGGCTCTTCGCAAGCGGGCCGTCCAGGCAGGTCTCAAGGTGGGTCACCTGGTGAAGGTGTGCAGGTAGGAGGAGGGCGCCATGCTTCCTTGTGCTCCACAACGCCAGCCCAGCCAGGCTGCCACCTTCATGCACGGCGGCCACTGCCCAGGGAGAGCGGCTGGCTGTGAAGCGGGTGTGCCAGGAGCAGGCGGGCTGGCGGCCGCGTGCGTCTCTGTGCTGACGGAGCCCCGTACCGCGTCCATTACTGGGACTCTACGTGTGTGAAGGTGGGAGAGCGATCCCTCTAGCATCACCGAGGGATGAAATTCCGCAGTACTGAAATTTCTAGATCATCAGCTTTCAAAGCATTTGAACTCTTTCTTTTTAATGGAAGCTTTGTATTAAGAATATTAAGAAATTAATATATAAAACGGATAAAAGACAGGCTTCTTGGGACTTCCCTGGTGGTGCAGTGGTTGGGAATCCGCCTGCCAATGCAGGGGACACGGGTTCGAGCCCTGGTCCGGGAAGATCCCACATGCCACGGAGCAACTAAGCCCGTGAGCCACAACTACTGAGCCTGTGCTCTAGAGCCCATGCTCCTCAACAAGAGAAGCCACCGCAATGAGAAGTCCGCGCACTGCAACAAGGAGTAATCCCCTGCTGGCTGCAACTAGAGAAAGCCCGCACGCGGCAATGAAGACCCAATACAGCCAAAAATAAACAAATAAATTTATTTTTAAAAAATTAAAAAAAAAAAAAGACAAGCTTCTCTGCAAACAAGTGACAAGAAACCTCCGCCCCCCACCCCCGCCCGGCACAACCCCCAAGACATCTCCTGAACACGGTTTGGAAGCTATTCTACAGAACTTGGGTCTTATTTGCCAAAGTTTGAAAAGGCAACTTTCTGTAATTCTAAAAAGTATCATTTACTCCTGCCTTATAAAGTTGAATATAATTTTGATGTTTTTCATGATAATACAGGGTCATGATTATGATCAACTGATGCTGGTCCTAAAATACTGATGTCCTTAGGTC